TATTCACGCTTTATAGATGTAGATGCCACTGGTTCTTCACGTTCTGTAGATGTAGATGCCATTGGTTCTTCACGTTCTGCAGATGTAGATGCCACTGGTTCTTCACGTTCTGTAGGTGTAGATGCCACTGGTTCTTCCCGTTCTGCAGATGTAGATGCCACTGGTTCTTCACGTTCTCTAGATGTAGATGCCACAAGTCTTCACGTTCTGCAGATGTAGATACTACTGGTTCTTCGTGTTCTGCAGATGTAGATGCCACTGGTTCTTCACGTTTTGCAGATGTAGATGCCACTAGGTTTTCATGTTCTGCAGATGTAGATGCCACTGGTTCTTCACGTTCTGTAGAGGTAGATGCCACTGGTTCTTCACGTTCTGCAGATGTAGATCCCACTGGTTCTCCACATTCTGTATATGTAGATCCCACTGACTCTTCACATTCTGCAAATGTAGATGCCACTGGTTCTCCACGTTCTGTATATGTAGATGCCACTGGCTCTTCACGTTTTGCAGATGTAGATGCCACTGGTTCTCCACGTTCTGCAGATGTAGATGCCACTGGTTCTCCACGTTCTCGAGATGTAGATGCCACTGGTTCTTCATGTTCTGCAGATGTAGATGCTACTGGATCTTCCCTTTCTGCAGATGTAGATGCCACTGGTCCTTCACGTTCTGTAGATGACACTGGTTTCTTCATGTTCTTCCGATGTAGATGGCACTAGTTTCTTCACGTTCTGCAGATGTAGATGACACCGCTGCCAGATAATGTGCGGCGGTTGAACTTATGACTCTCGGTCCGAACGGGCAACTGGACATACAGGATAGGTTCGTATCTCTGAAATTTTTTAAGTCGAATGTTCCTAAGTAGAGGAGCCCCTGCATGTAGCAGCGTTGGCATTTCTATCACCACCAGAAGCTCACCACCAAGTGTCCCGGCGGAGCCTCGCGCACTCCCCCGTTAAGATCAGCGCCCCCCCCCCCCCCCCACTCACCCGTCCTTGAGGAGGTCATATCGGATGGAGTCGCGGGGGTCACCGCTGGGTGTCGCGTAGCAGTTCTCTGCGAAGAGGGTGATACTCAGGGTGGACTTGACGGCGAGCTGCAGGTAAACCTCCTGGTCCTTCTTGTAGTGCACAGGGAAGTCGTTCCTCCTGTAGACATGGCGGGGGGGGGGGGGCGTGGGGAGGAGACTCACTTCAGACAGGGTTTGTCTGTGGCATTACAGGACCTCCGGTTGGCCATGTACGGTCGCGTAAGAAGTCCAACGTGCAGTCTCCGCTCTCCTCTACAACGTTGTACGGGTAGTTGCACTGCTGGAGAACACCACGTTATGGAGAAATCGCGTTGTACTAAATCAATAATATTTAACGTAGGTGGGGGGTAAAGCACTGTCCATGGTAATACGCGACGTGACACGCAACGCAGGCCCTTAGCAAAGACCGATGCGCGCGGTCCAGTCGCGTCTGGAAGCATCCAGTAGCATCCCGATGCCTCGTGCGACGACGATGCTACACGGAGGCAGCCGAACATACGGTCTCTTGTTCCTACTGCGACGTAGCTCCATTCGCTCAATCGCGCATCAACCATCACGTTCTGTCATCAATTTGCATTATTAAAACCACACGCGGCGTTATAGGAGAATTGACTACACACGTACATGCAAGTGTGTGTGACGTCAGTCGGAATGGTCAAGAAATTACCTTCCGGGAATTGTTTTGAAACCCGCGACATCCGTATCACCTGCATCAAGCGGCTCATCCCATGCCACCTCCACTCAAATCTACCAGTGGGGTAGGCATTATCAACTATAAACTATTAAACAGTTTTTACTTTAACAGGTAAGGCCCACCACTGAGATACACACTTTTACAGAAGCGACCCTGGCTATCACAAATGATAGCGGCTCAACAAAGTGGCGGTTTATCATCATCATCATCACGTGGAAAGTTATAGCAGCAGTCAATACTCTAAACGCGTGGTGATGTTTATTCTAAATGTGGAGGGAAAAAAACCGGATAACCCGGAGAAAAATTAACGCGACCACCATGGGGAGAGAGACACGCAACCTCCAAATATATGGCAGCAGGCATCGTCAGGGTTGGGATCGAACCCACGGCCTCCTGTATACCGGGTGAGGGAGTTAACATCTAACCACAGTGGGAATAGGGAGAGAGCTAGGGGAAGAGAGAGAGAGAAGAAGCCTCCACATAGATAACAGCAGCAGGCATCGTCAGGGTCGGGATCGAAACCACGGCCTCCTGTACACCGGGCGAGGTAGTTAACATCTCCTAGCCACCGTGGCTGCCCTCCGCACCCCCCTCCGCCCACCCCCCGATGATGGTGAGCGGTGAAAATCCCTGCCTGTAGGCGAGTGCGAATGCGTCCGTGGTGAAGAGGTCGATGTTGAAGACGAAGTCCCCAAGCCCCTTCTCCGTGATGAAGATGCTGCCCGTGTCCGGAGTGAAGCTCACGGCCAGCTTCTTGCGCTTGTCATACACACAGCTGAGGGCAAACGGAGGGATACGATGTATGTGCTTGCTGCGCAACGCGATGTATGTGTTTGGTTTGTGCGCCTTTAGGTTCTTTCACACTGTGTATGGCTCGACCATGACTAATTGGAGGTGGGGGGGGGGGGACAACAAACTAACACAACAATAACGACAAGCAGCAGTTCTATAGAAATTAGTTTGTCAATCTATATGATGATGATGATGATTTAAAAGTGCATAAAAGCTTCTAGTAGCTTCCTAATATCGGAAGGATTTGCGTTTTAGACAGCAGGAGAAACAGCAGCGCATCTGAAAACGCCACGCGATGATGCGGTGAGCACCGTCTTTGTTCGATGGCCAGCCAAAAGCCAGCGCTGCTGTTACGAGGATAACTGGAGTGCGTGTGACGATGGTTTATGATCCTAGACGAGATCAGCGAGGTGTATGATACATCGTAGCATCGCAGCAACCCTTTCCATACACACACGACCAGCCGTGTACACCAATGCACAAAGACACAAAGACAGAGATTCACCCGTGTAGCCTCTAACAGACTGTTGGGGCAAGTGCTGTTAGTAGCGAGTAGAAGCACCTATGAAAGCTGGCACCGCACACAAAGGGGTGGTGTGGAAAGGACCACACCCAGTCTCCTTTGTCTCCACGCTACTGATGTTTGCACACTGCACCGGGTACTAAGTTATGGCTAAGTCGACCTAGAGGTGGCCCAAGATTGTTGCCACTGATGTAAGTCTCGAGCGGAAATCAAACCTGGACTGCCAGGTTCGTTGCGCAGTGCTCTAACCACTATACTACCGCTCCTCACCCCATACATGCACAAAAGACAAACATCCCCCATTTCGCATTCAAGAGACTGTTGGGGCAAGTGCCATTAGCTTGTAGCACCTATGAAGGCTGGGATGGCACACGAGGGGGTGGGTGGTCAGCACCACGCCCAGCCGCCTTTGTCTCCCCTGTGGCAATGTTTGCACACTGCACCAAGTACTTATTTTAGGTTGAGTCGACCTAGGGGAGGCCCAGGACCGGTTCAGATAATCGTCAACGGTGTTGGCCGATAGCGGGAATCGAACTCAGGTCGCCGGGTTCGTAGCGCAATACAGCCGACACAGGCCGTACGTGGCAAGTGCACTTAGTGGGCACCCATTTATATATTTCGCACAGCACAGGCCTGCACGTACGTGATGAGGAGCTCGATGTCGTTGAAGTTGCGCGTGATCACTTGGCCTTCTTCGTTCTCCTTGAGTGTTAGCGTCTGGGAGAAAATCATCGACGTGTTTGATTCCTGTATGGGGAGAGAGACGGTCAAACATCAATGCTACCATCGTCGGCCATGATCCGTGCACCACTGGTTTAACATAACTGTTAACTATTTTTTGTTTGTTTTATCAGGTCAAGCCTGCTAAGATATTAGCTTATTTTTTAGAAGCGACCCTGGCAATCACAAACGATAGCAACTCAACAAAGTGGCTTGTCACGTGGCAGCTAAATACTCTAAACCTATAGAGATGCATCAACAACAACCGCCATTCGCCACTAAGTGATGGTGACATCACCACGACGCTTGTGCCAGGCCATGTGCACCTTGAGGCCACGTGAAGTGTCGAATGCCTGCTGGCAGGAGGTCACGGGGCAGACCCAGGTGCCACGGGTCGACTGACTGAGATAGAGATGCATAGCTCCAGATAGACACCCATAGACTATACTAAAACTAAACTATTTTGTATTGTTACCAAGTAAGGTCCCACCACTGAGTTGCTATGTAGCTCTTTTTTCAGAAGTGACCCTGGCAATCACAAAAATAGCAACTCAACAACGTGGCTTATCATAATCATTACGTGGAAATATACAGCAGCAGCCAAATACTCTGAATGCGTGGTGATGTTGATTCTAAACGCAGAGGGGAAAAAAAGGAGGAATACCCAGAGAAAAATCCTCGCGACAATAGGGAGAGAAGAGAAATGCAAACTTCAAATATACAGGCATCAGGGTCCGGATCGAACCCACGACCTGCTGCATACCAGGCGAGAGAGATAGCTTCTCGACACATCACATAAGGCATCCCCAGGAAGTGTTCATCTCTTGTGGATACTCCAATGCAAAAATCAATTCGTCGGTGGATTTATTTGTTGGACATCTGATGTGCCAGACAGTCAAATAGTCTGTTGATTGGTGGATTAGTCTTCTTCTGGACTGGTTAATTGATTATTGAGTCGGCCAATTGGTCAGTTGATGGACTTGTTGGTTGTTTGATCAGTCAATTGATCAGTCAGTCAATCGGTCAATCAGTCAGTTGAAGGATTTATTCCTTGATGAATTACTCGGCTAATCAGTCAGCTAGTCGGCCGATGAATGAATTTATTCATCAGTCGCTCTCTCAGTTGATCCGTCGATCATCCGACCGATCTACGCCGATGAGTCAAAATGCAATTGGTCAGGGGGGAACGCCGTTGATGCCTAGCACGCGTCACCTGGCAGACGGCGCCACAGTCAGCAATGCCGATGTCGAAGGTGATGAAGTCTCCGTCGTCGACAAGGGAGCAGCCGGGCAGCGCGGGGTCATTGAGCCGCGTGTCACTCGCCGTGTAGTTCAGCACCAGCATGCGCGGGACTCGCGCAGACATGCGCTCTCCCTCACATGACAACTCCACCTCCGCTATGGGGGGAGAAGGAGGAGGAACGAGGGAGGAGGCACCAGGAAGTGTTTGCACTGCAGAAACTGAGCCGTGCTTTTGACCTCGCACGCGGTGAACGAGCGCGGGCGCATGCAGGTGACGCGGTGACGCGGGTATGTCACATGGTGATGCTGCGTCCTCATGGTTTACTGTCCATTTGTAGGTACGTTGCACGTATTTCGCATTGCACATAGCCAACCACACTGATCAGAGGTGCGGAGGCAGGACAAAGCAACGCACAAAAATAAGTTCTAAAGAAGTAAGTTCTCAATCTAAATTTAAATGTGTATATGACTTCCTAAAATCTGACGAAATAAAACAATCCACACCGTGAGATATCCTGCCGTTGGCTCGGCTCAGTTTTTCCAGCGGAAAAGGGGTTATAAGTGAATGTGCCCCGGCGTGGGTGGCCCTGGCAGAAGAGAGGGGGGGGGGGGGTGGTGGAGGTGGTGGTGGATGGGTACCTCGGTGGCAGCCGAAGCGGCCCTCCTTGAGGAAGCACGCCTGTCCCCCATGGCACCCGCCTGCCTCCTCCACGACCACCCCCTGGGAGCAGGCACGTGAAGCGACGCGAGCAGTCGTGGGTGTACCACGACTCGGCCACCTGAAATCACACGACACATGCACACACACAGGGCTCGCATCATGCAGGGGTGGTGTTAAGTTTCATGAGGTTGCTTGTAGTGTTGTATATACATATAGAGACATAGCGTGAGTGTTGAGCTTACATTGTGCTGGCGGTGGTGTCAGTGCTGGTTTAAAGTTTGTAGTGTGAGTGTTGTTGTGCTCACATCTCTGTAGACGCCACCCTGCTTAAACCTGCAGACTCTCACCACCGTATGGTGTTGGTGTTAGGACCACGCTTGTCGTGATGTAGAGCAAGTGATAGGCTCAGTGTTTATCTCAGTGTGACCGTGTTGGTGTCCGGCAAAGACAACCCCCTACCTCCTCGGTGGTGCCGGATGGTAATGCTGTGGCAGATGTGAGTAATGTCATGGAGCGAATGGCTGAAGTGCAATCTATTCAGGAAGTATGGAAGGCGATTCAGAGTCTGAGACCAGGAAAAGCGCCGGGCAGAGATGTTCTCCCAAGCGTAATGCTGAGGCAGGGTGGTATTTGTGTGCAGACTGCCCTATATGACATCATAATAACAGTCTGGACCACTGGACCGGTTTAACCAGACTGGATTTGTGAGGAGCTCACACATGCTTGAAAGATCTGGATAATATCCCATTGGTGAGCTCCTCCCGCAGGCTTTGCTGCATTGGCTGGGTCATGTAGCCCACATGCCCAGCCACTGCATGCCTAAATATATTTTGTTCCACCGGATAGAGGGGTCTAAACGAACGCAGAATGGGCTAGAAAAGAAATGGTACAATTGGATGTGGAGCCGAGTGGACTTGCCGATGACTGGTACTAGCTGTGTCAAGATCGGCCTCTGTGTAGGAGGCTCGTGAAGAATGCTACTGGGCAGTTGGAGGAAGTCACCCTCCAGCACCGGCAGAAGGCACAACAATGAGCAGAGCGCCAGATGGCTAAAACACAGTAATAGGCACAATAGAGGGCACAGGTGGTGCATCGGCCAGTCATCTCTGTCAGTTAACCCATGGCACCTGGGTTTGTCCCGTGACCTCCTGCTTGCAGGCATTTGACACTTCACGTGGCCTCAAAGTGCACTTAGACTGGCAAAGGTGCCGTGGTGACGTCTACGTCACTTAGCGGCAAATAGTGGTTGTTGTTGTCTTGGTGTTGAGGTCACGTCTCTGAAAACTTTGCTGTACATGCAGTGTGGGTGTTAAGACCGTGCTTGCGATGATGTAGGGTGTAGTGGTAAGGTGAGTGGTATGGTGAGTATTTATCTCAGTGTGACAGTGTTCGCCTTGAGCTCACGTCTCTGTAAATGCCGTCATACGTGCACCCGCAGTCCGCCGCCGCCACGCACGTGCCGCCCTGCAGGAAGAAGCCGGCGTCACACACGCAGCCCTCGGCGCAACTGCGGCTCCGCGGGCACGCGGCTGCAGGTAGGCCGCACGATGATGGGCAGGGAGGGGCGCACGTGCTGTACGTGCTGTGAGCTGGGCACGCCAGCACTGTGCACATACACAAACACAGAGAGACACACACATGCAGTTTTTCTAAAACTACCGGGACTATACTAGGCCAAACCAAAATGGGGCTTTGGTAGCTTTCATTTTTTGTTGAGAGCATGGAGAAATTCTCCTCGCTTACAGCAGTTGGCGGCCGCCCTCCACTCCGCAAGCACCACTCCGTGCGTCAGGCATGTGTCGAAGTATCCCTGGAGGTGCGAGCAGCGCAGCGCCGCGTCCATGCCCGTCACGGCCAGGTCGAACACGCATTTGGTGAAGTACGGCCCGGGCGGCACCGTCACGAAGCACGGGGCAAAGGGCGACTGGGCGCCACGCAGGAAGTCGCACGGCACCTCCGCCAGCGCCTTGTCCGCGTCGCTGGGCGTCACCACGCGGCCGTAGTCCGGCCCACAGCTATGATCGCCATGGGGATGGGAGGACAAAAAGAGTTTACAGACCTTTGATTAAAGTCGGTGGCCTGCGGTTTTGGCTTGAATAGAAGCCCAGGGATAAGAGGACTGAAAATGCTATTACAATTTGTTCCCTCAACCAGATTCGGACGTCTTCTTCTGAGATCTGCAGTGCATCGTGGTTTAGTTTCAGTCTCGGCATGGCAGGTAGCGTGTGTGCGTGTGTTTGTCCGGCAAAAAAACACCCTTCCTCCTTGCGGTGCTGGACGGGCAACACTGTCGTGGACATTGCTGTGGGGGGAGGGCCAATGCCCATTGGCCTCTCCCCTCATGGCGTCTGTGACCACCACAGTGACTGAACGGGGGCTCTGGACGGGTGTGAGGGGCTGGTAACCCCTCTACCTTCAATTAATTACCACGAGACTACGATATAAACATAAAAATGTAACAAATAAGATTGTGCCGGAGGCCCCAGAGGGACAGGCTTCTATGATGTCTCCTGGCCAAACCCCAATTGGCGGAGCCAGGAGATTGAATCTTTCCCCTCGGGGCTCCTCCAGAAACAACGAAAAACCACTGTGGATGGCCACGTGGAATGTTTAAACGCTCACTGCGGAGGAGAGGCTGCCACTCCTTTGTCGGGAGCTGGACCGGTACCGCCTGGATCTCTGTGGCATTTAGGAGGTCCGGTGGACCGGTTCTGGCTCGTGTCACCATGAGGGGTGGACAGTCCTCCACTCGGAGCAGGAGACTGCCAAACAACAGGGTGTGGCTCTTCTTCTGAACAAAAGAATGAAGGGGACGTGGGAGCGTGGCGGTGAGGTGTGGGAAGCTGTATGCCCCAGGATACTTTGGGCTCGCCTTCCCATCAACCGGAGGCGAGGAGTGGTGGTCGTGGTTACTTATGCCCCCACCGAAGACGAATATCCATGGAAGGATGCAGGCAAAGCCGATGAGTCAGATGCCTTCTATGACCTCCTGTCACAGGTGCTGGCTAAAGTGGCCACTCGGGACAGAGTCATCTTGTTGGGTGACTTCAATGCCCGGGTTGGTCATGATGCTGGCACCTGGTCTGGAATGATTGGAAGGCATGGGCCAGATCAGCTCAATAACAATGGTAGGAGGCTGCTAGATTTTTGTGCAGCCCATGGGCTTGTAATTACCAACACGCTCTTCCGGCATCGGCGCATCCACACAAAATCATGGATGCATGCCGAGTCTAAGCAAGAACATCTGCTGGACTACATAGTGACGGACCAGAGGATGCGAGCCCATGTCCTTGACACCAGGACTTACCGTGGAGCTGATCTGCCCTCTGACCATCGACTAGTCATCTTTAAGATGCGCCTGCCATTCTTCCGCTCCGGTGGTGGGTGTACACCCAGGACCCCATTCCAACCTAAAGTGGCTTGGTCTCAGTTAGCTGATGAAAGTTGCAAGCGAGAATTTCATCATCGCTTGCAGCTGGGGTTGGCATCGTCCCCCACTCCTCCTGATGTCGAGGGTAAATGGGCGAGGTTTAGGACTGTGACCCATGCAGCTGCAATGGCTGCTTTGGGTACGTGGTCCAGACCTCCCCAGAAACCCTGGCTGACAGAGGAGGTGTTCAGGTTAGTTGAGAAAAAGCGACAGGCCCACTCTCATCGGCTACAGCATCCCACGTCAGAGAATGAGGAGGTATACCACAGCCTTTGCTCGGAGATTCGGAGAGCCTAAGGCGCTGCAAGGATGGGTGGTGGTCGCGGGTTGCTGAGGAGATGGAGTTGTGATGCCACCGCCACGAAGCCGTTCGGCAGGCACCAAATCCCCGACCTCGCCACCACCAAGCAACGGAGCCGACCCCGCGTCCCCCTCACCTCACCTCACATGAACACACCCGCACTCATTTCCCCCCCCCCCCCATAGAGCTCCGAGGGGAGGTCGCCTGGCCGACCGGTTTTTATCCGAGAGACCCTTATCGGGATTAATTCTCACGGTTTCCGGCGATCAGGGGATTGGATGACCTCCCCCGTGCTACGTGGCACCGCGGCGCTGCGGCCGGCCTTAATATGGTGTGGTCGCGGCGTGGGGCATTCGGCCACCGCGGTTGAAGCGCATCTCCCCCCACACACACTCCCACGGGTCGACGGGGCGAGCAGGGGAGGCACGGGACAGCATGAATAGGGGGGTCACAGGGGCTGTTGCGCATAGTCATGGAGGGTTGGGATAATTGCGCTTGAGCGCGCAGGTCCCATTGTTAGGGAGGGTAAGGGATTAAGTAGGATTTACGCCTTGCACGCAGCACACTGATTAGCATATCAACAGCGCCCAGAACCGCCGTGCGCGTGCCAGAGGATCGCGAGCCCATTGTTTAGCGCAGCATCCCCTTTGAGGTAGGGAGGATAAATAGAGGGGCGCAGAGGGAAAATAGCTCTCTTCTCTCCAGCGCCAGGCGACAGGACGCTCTCCAGTCCAGCGACCCGATCGTCCGTGAGACGCATCGAGGTGCGCTGCGAGCACGGGATCAACGAACCGCCGTGGGCATCCAGCAGGAAGTCCCCGATCCGTCTGTCGCCGCCGGGACTCGCGCAGTGTGAGGGCAGCGCTGTTCGCCCCCGACCCCCGTTTTAATAGCGCGTGATCCGTGGAGAGACAACGCAGCGTCTGCAGGTGAACGAGGGCATGCGACGAGCTATGCCTCTCACACGAGCTCGCGGAGGGACGGACCAGGGAGGGGAGCCGTCGGGCGATGAGCCCAGCGACGGCAGCAGCTGCTCGCAGAGCAGCGAGGGGTCGGCGCACGGCGGAGCCCCTGCCATAGGCACGGAGCAGGGAGGGACTCCGGGGACCAGCGGCCCCAACAAATTGGTGTCAGAAGTGGGACGAACCCTCACATCTTCACGGGAAGGTGGCGCGCTACTCCACGCAAAGGTAAGGCATGTGTTCACCGGCCAGGGGACCCCTACATGGAAAGCGTTTTCCCGTAATATCATAGGGGCTAAAGAGCTTAATGGCTGGTCGGACGCGCAGGCGTTGCGACATCTTACGTTAAACTTAGACGGGCGGGCAGCCGACTTTGTAGAGGCACTACCCGAAAGCGCGCAAACCCAACTAGAAGAACTAATGCGTAGATTAGACCTGCGTTTCGGCACGCGCAACGTGATACGGGCGAAGACCGCCTTAGAGGCGCGCCGACGCCAAACTGGCGAGGACTTCCGAGACTACGCTGAGGACGTGCGATCACTAACCCGGATCGCCCGTCCAGAGTTCTCGAAGGAGGTCATTGACGCGCTAGCTGCAGACAAGCTACTCAGGTACCTAGCTCGCACCGCGTGGTGGCAGCCCAAAAAGAGTAGCGCAGGCCTCCCTTTCGATACCCTAGTCGAGCAAGCGCTGGAGTGTGAGGAGCTCTCCAGCGAACGCGCGCAGCTCCGAGGGTCGGGACAGGAGTACACCGTGGCGAGCCTGATCCCTGACGAGGAGGATGAGGATGAGCCCGCCAGCCCCATGGGGAGACGGGCAAGAGAGGCCCAGAAACCCCGCGAGACAACCCCGGGTTGGGTAGCTGGGTTACAGACCGGCATGGGAGATATTGCTGGCCGAGTAGACCGAATGGACGGTAAGGTAACCCAAGTAGGGGAGAGGGTAACCCACGTAGGTGAGAGGGTAACCCAGGTACGCGAGGAAGCGAATAAAAATATGAAGACCCTCCAGTCTGAGATGGGGGAACTACGCTCGACCGTAGGGGGGCTGGCCGGGAGAGTAGCCCAATTAGAGTCCGATGTGGGACAACTGCGTACTGGGGGAGGGAGAGGGAGCGGACAGGGGACCCGCTACGGAGCCGCCCCCCCTCCCCGGGCATGTTATATGTGCGACCGCCGAGGGCATCTAGTGAGAGACTGTCCTGAAATCACCCGAGCTAGGCAGACGCGGGGGTTAAACTCCAACGCCCCCTAGAAAGCGGACCAACTAGGGGTGCAATCGACGCGGTCCCGATACAAATAGACGATAATGAGAATAATGGCGAGCGAGTGATCTCCACACAGGTTCCAGCAACAACGCCCACAGAAACGGTGACTCCTGGCGACTGGCTGCGGGAGCTGGTGGCGGGGATCACGGGGGCCACGTCGCTGGTGGAAGGGGAGGTAAACGGAGTGCGTACCCGAATCCTGCTGGACACGGGGGCGGTGGCCTCGCTCGTGAGCGCAGCGCACTGCAGCGCGATCGGGGTCGACGTGCGTCACCTGCAGGCCCCGGACCGCGCGCTGCACACTGCGAGCGGAGCCGGAATGGGACTGCTGGGGAGAGCCACCCTAGAGGTCCGCATAGGCAGCCAGGTGTGCACGCAGGAGTTCTACGTGTCGAGTGCGTTGTGTCACGAGTGTATCGCAGGCACCGACCTCCTAGAACGGTTGGGACTCAACGTGCAACCCCGCCAGCGATGCGCCACCATGGAGAGCAACGGCGAGCGGATACCGTTCCTGGGACGAGAACCAACGCGCCGCCGCTTTGCACCTGTGGCCGCTATCCTGGCGACGACAGTCACCATCGGCCCGCTCACCGAGATGCTGGTGCCGGTGGCAACATCCCCCACCGACCCCGCGCTCCGACCATCAGGGGAGGTAATGCTAACTCCTCACCCGGAGTTGGCAAAACGGTATGGGGTTGTGGGATCCGCCACGTTGGTAAACGCAGATGGGGACCGATTGTTTATGCGGATGTTTAACCCCCACAATACCCCAGCGACACTGCGACGGCGCACCCCGATAGCCATAGTACACCCCCTGCACGCACGCCACTCTAACGACTCGGTGTTCGCACTCTGGGCTGAGGACCCCGGGCATCCTGAGGGTGACCAGGACCTGGCCTGGCGAGTCGGCCCGACTCCCCGAGCCGAGGTCGTTCCCCTGCTCGACGCGTTACATGTACCATGGGCGGATTTACCTAAGGGAGGGGCCGATCGGCTGCGCGAGTTACTGCGGGAGTATGCCGACGTATTCAGTGAACACGACTCGGACGTGGGTC